TAAAGTGTCTATAAGCATTAGAATATCGGGACATAAAATATGGCTTAACTTAAAATTATGTTTAGCTTAAAGTTTCGCTAAAAAAATAACTTGTCTAAACACAAAACTACGTTAACTATAAAAAGCTTAGAAACAAAAAAAAGTACCAAACATAAAATGTGGCTTAACATAAATTTTAGCAAGCATTAGATTTTGTTCAACATAAAGATATTTACAACTAAAAATTTTACAAAAAATATTTTCGTCGATGGCGTCGATGACTGTCAAATAAAATTCCGAAAATTTGTTTTCAGTTTCTTTATTATTACCACACTTTACACTACACAGGTGGCGTCATTACCAAGTGCTGTGGTGTTACCTACTGCTCTTATATACCTTACTATTTTCCGCATGTATCTTTAGGAGTTGCTACTTTAATTATTCTCGATAATGAAAATTAATAAACGCGATATAATTTTGTTTTTGGCCTCACTTTCGCACCCCACATTAGTTGTTGGTATTTCTCCACAATATGTTCAATATAGCTAGCTACACTCGACATGTTGTTTAAAATGGGATATATATATGTGAATATATTAAGTATATACTTGTCTTTGAATTCAAATAAATAAATAAAAATAATTAAACTTTCAATGCTTAAGAACGTCTGCTACCAATTAGTTATATACCACAAACTTTAACCAACTCTACTTCTGCCATTCATTCAATCACACACTTAAGTGTAAATAACAAATATTTGTGCGCAGTTTCTTATAACCGCACTTTTAACTGATTCCAGTTTTTCAGTGTTTCAAAAGCTGGCATTAAGTGCAGACAAATCCAATTTCTAACTGATACTCGTAAACTGACTCACTTACTTCGTGTTGTATAAATATTTTCTTTGGAAATAAACCAACAAAATAACAGCACACACATATACATACATAACATTTATCTACAATATTATATATGTACTCATTTGAACTGAAACTGAGAACAAAATGTTCGCTACAAACTTAGATACGATTACACACACTAACCACGCGTACTACTGACAAACAGTTGAGGCATTACAGTGATGCTGCTGACCTATAAGGGATTTGTTTTTGTATGAGATACAGTTGTACAACAACGTAGTCAATTGACGATTCCATTGCATTCGAGCAGAAGTAGTAGATAGTTGAGCTGAGATATACAAGCTTAAATAAGCTTTGAGCAGCGATGACAAGCAGTAAAGGACTTTTGGGCTATGGATGTGTGTGTATGTGAGTATACGTTTGAGATCGACGCTTCGTTTGTTTACAATGACAAGCAACGTATCGCGCTTATCCTAGTCAATGGTGGCCACAAGTGGCGCGTAGATAAGCAATCAAACGTGCTGGCATTATGGCGGTAATGGTGAGTGGGATGAAAGGGGCTCTTACTGCACAGCTATCGGCAATCATTAAAATGTGACAGTAAGCGATTGAAAACAGAAGCAACAGAAAACAGAAGAGTAGTGTAGGTATGAACAAGCAAACCAAACAAAACAAAGCAAATAACAGCCAACTTCAATTGTTTATCCTGCCGTGAAGGGTATACTCACACTACCACCACAAAAATTTTGGAAATATTGTTTGAGATCTTTGCCGCAGTAGCTTAGTGATAGATAACAGTTGATGTAATGAAAAGAAAATTGTTTAAAAAGACGACTTACAGATATAAGCCTGTCGGCAGGTGCTTCTGAGTGCGTGCAATTAAGTGCAACAGTTAAATGTGTGCGAATGTTCTTAAATACCAGCCAACTACGGCGCGATAAATAAAAACCATTATTAAATACTTAAAAACTTTAACCTTTGTTTGAGTTATAAAAAGATCAAACTGTTCATTGTATTTACAATTCCCATTCGAAGGATAAAAGTAAGAAGAAAACTAGTCAAAAGAGCTGTATTCGGTCGTACCGAGCGAAGTCTTTACAGATTTCATGATTTCATTTTAGGAATAAATTTCGATTCTCATGTCTTAAGAATTGGTATGATTTTCAAGTCTTAAAAATTGGTATGAAGGGGCTATAGTAGTATATTGTCCGCACATTTCAATGATTTGCGATAACTATATCTATATACCCATTGTATAATAAATTCTTTGTTGGCCAATGTCCAATATCTGAAAAAAATCGCATATGGGAGCATTATGTTGTGATCGTCCGATTTCGATAATTTTCAGCAGCATTGTGAAATTCATCATAAATATTTGTGCTGGATATCATTTCATGTTTCACACTCTTAGAGGATTTTTGAAAAATGTATGACCCAAAACCTCGAATCAGAAAAATCGGGCCCATACATAATGTAGTTGTCTGATCCGTTTCGACAAGTTTGGTTTGAAATATCTCAAAGACGAAGCGACTAATTTGCATACAAACAGACGGACAGGCGGGCATGGACATGGCTAAAATAACACTCAACTCGTCATTCGGACCCGGCTGTCGGCGTCTATCTCTTTCCCTTCTGGTACTTACATACCTCGGACCAAACATAATAAAATATTTCATTTACATTCAAGGCAAACAAAGTTAAATATATTTTGTAATATTCAAATTTTATTTGATGTTGGCGATGCCGGTCAGGAGCAAAGGAGGTGCTCTATCCTCTCACTCATACCCGCGTTCTTACTCTTCTGCTGCATTGTTAGTAACTATTCGGCAAAATATTATTGCTTAGAATGCATCATGTCTGAGTTCACTATTCCCGCGAAACTGATATGGCTTTGTAAAATTACATTGGACATCGCTGGCAGCTCTACACAGCACTACTGAAAAGTCCTCTCTAAACTTTTCAATAACATTCAATGCTTCAGACAAGCGATCCTATGCCGAGTGATTTTCACAAATTCAAACCTGCCAGCTGGTGACAATCTTTATAGTACTATTTCCTACAAAAGCTTTCAAATTCTTCGCAAATGCTGTTGATATTTATGCCATTGGAGGTTGTAAATGAGAAGTTTCTGGCATGGGCGACAACTAAGATCTCACGTTGTAACAGACCTCTATGCCTTCGAAGTAATGAATATTAAGTGAAGAATCACTTTTGTCAAAGAGTGTCACTATAAACGCAGTGACTCAGTGACGCCCGCGCTCGTCTACGTTGCAGAAGCATAGACTGACTCCCAGATTGGCATAGCCTAGAGTGCTCAGAAGAAAAATACTTTACAAAATCTTCAGTTTATTTCATATTGGACTAACTGTAAAAAATCTGCGGTTTGTACATATTATGCGTTTGGTCAATAAAGTTCAAGCGAGGAATGTATTAGCAGTGAAAGCCGATGGAATTGCTGTAAATTACTCATTATTTTTTTTTTAATTTTGAGCAGAGTCATAGAAAAGAAATATGTAAAAAAATTGGCAGTAACTGTCGTATTGTAAAAATAAATTTTTTGACTCTTAAAAAATTATTTATTTTTTTAAATTTTTATTTATTTTAAGTTGCCTAATAACAGTTATTTTCAAAGAAAACTTTTTCTGTAGCCCATAAAGTATGAAGAAACGTAAAAAATAGTCCTTACACTGAGACAAGGTTTTCGATCCAAAAAAAAAAAAAAAATACTGTTATTTTGGGTCTCTGTTAATTTGACAGCGGATAATAAACATTTTAATTTTTAATTTTTTTAAATTAAATTACCTTACTGCTGTTTTAGTGAACTAAAGCGGCTTTGCTTTGTTTAATATTTTGGGATCAGCAAAAGCTGGTGTAACTGTTATTTCATTTTCCAAATATGAGCTATTTTACCAGCCCACTCATAAATATGCGTTTGTGTGATGAATAGACATTTTTTAATTAAAAAAAGTATAAAATAAAAATAAAAGTTATATTCTTTTATAAATAATTGCCAAAAAATTTTGTTTCTAATTTTTTTCCATTCATTGATGTTATCTAGAAAAAAATTTGAACAAAATTGAATAAATTTATAAGCGTTCATACACAAATAAAAAATTTCGCTAAGTGCATTCGTTTACCCATATGCTCCCATCTGTGTACAGGGTAGGGCGTATGAGCAACATTTTGTGTGGCATACAAAAATCAGCTAAAAGTATTCAAAATTTTATAATTCAAATTATTTTAATACAGACAAAATTAAAGTATCATTAAACATACATTTCAATGAAAATTTTCTGCAAAAGTTTTTTTAAACATACATTTTAGAATAATAATGAGATATAGCTTAAGGTCAACACTCATATTCATATTCAAACATTATATAATCTTCCAAAACTAAGCAGCAAAGGTGAGTTCTAAATATCACTTTACATATGTATATTTTCACTGCAAATCATAATTTTGAAAAAAAAATCCTTACTTTTAAATAACACTTAGTTTTATTGATTTTACATTTTCGTGTCTTAAATGCACCTTTAAATTCTTTTTCACCACAATTTGCCGCTCCTGCACCTACTCAAATAAGTGTTGTACAACTTTTTATTTGAAGATTTTGTTGGTATTTAAATAAAAAAAAGTGATTTAAAAATAATTTAGACGTTATGCCACAAAAAAAATCAATATCTAAAAAACTTATAATAGAAATATAACGATTTGTAGCGCAAACTTAATTAGTCAACAAATTAGACGTTATTAAAAGTAAATTTGCAAGCATAGCAGTACAGACACATATGTATAGTAGACGCCAACAGTTTTAAGGAAACGCAAGCTGAAGTAATTTATAACAAGAAAAAAAATCATAATAAAACGAATGCAATTCTTTGAGTGCCAAGCACTGCAAGATAAATACAACTACAACATTTTATTTGCATACAAAAATAGAAGTAATTCAATGCAACTACAATTTGCAACAAACTACCCACAACAGCAATTAATTAACAAAACAGCAAAACTTTAATTGCAAAACAAAAAGCAAAAAACGTTAATAACACAGAATAAGCGTTTCTATAAATTGAAAAAAAAAACCAAAAAAATTTCAAACCAACAAATAAAAACAAACTCAACTTGAACACTTCCTTCCTTCCTTCCTTACATGCAAAATGGCAGTCAGAATAATGGGCATGGACGATAAATTGCATCTGAAAATGTTCGAAGATAATTTGGCGCTCATCGATACGCCACTCATAGCATCAGCGACGAGCACACACTACCCAGGCACCGTGTCCACTTCGTTGCACTCCCTACACGGCATACTCTTGTACCCGTTCAATGTAAGCGACTTCCAGCAGCGACACAACGCGCCAACCGGACACGACACGAGCGCTTTGGATATCATCGACACGGCCAACACGTACGGGTACGACCAGAGCGGTGGTGGCTCCCAAGGCCATAGTCATGGCGGTGGCGGCGGCGTTTACTATCAAAGTATGTGTAAATGTTTAAATAACTAACCAAAAAAACAAAAAAAAAAAAAAATAGAAAAAAAATATTGAAACTTATATGTGTTGAGCTAAATAAAAAACACAGAGAGAGAAAGAGAGAGAGGAAAACATTTTTTTCTACAACACCAAAAAACACTCAAAAAAGTATGCAGGAATGATCAGAAACATAATAACACTAGTTGAAAGTAGGGCAGTAAGTGCTTAGAACTTAGTTTGAGAGTCAATTGTTAGCAAATCCGCATTCTTTGTTGTACCTAATAAATGTATGTGTGTACGTGTGGTTACATTTATGTGTGCCTCAGTGCGCGTGTGTATGTATGGCTAGGTAAGTGCTATGCTAGTTTCCAACTGCAAGTACACACATGTAGTGCTACAAAAGCAGCATAGAAGTGTAACGGCGCAGATTTGTAGCGAGAAATAATATATTTAAATATTTTTATGCAATGTACAAAGTATTTTTTCACAAAACTTTTTTTTTCTAATTTTTCAAGAGAAAAATATTATTGATTTTTTTTCTGTTTGAAGTATTTTTAAGTGTTTTTTTTTTAAATTTCATTTATTTTATTTAATTTTTTACAAAAACTACGCGTAAAAAAACCTGGTGTTATGCCACAAAAAAGAAAATATATTCAATTTCAATTTATATAATTTCATTTTAAGAAAATTTATTTTTACGCCAATGCTTTTTAAGTGGCAACAATGCCATGACCAACCACAACACGACGTCCATGTAATACTCAACAATTCTATATTTGAGTTACGTTGAAAATAAGAACATAGTCATAACAATAAAAACCAACAGCAACAACAATTATAACAATCTCAAATGGCGACTAACAAAAGAAGATAACACGAAATATTGCAAACAATACAAAAAAAAATTGAAAAAATTAGCGAACCAAATATTTAGCGCTTTCTTTTTCTTTAATTTTTGTTTTTGTACTAATTTACATTTTTTTTCGCTCAACAAACTTTCAAATTAGTTATAAATTTCGATTGTGTTTACGATCTTTTCCTGTTCATAATTAAATCTATTTACATAAGCTAAACAAAAAAAAAAAGTAATATGAAAACCAAAACAAAAAACAAAAACATTTTTATATTAAATAGAAAAACAAAATTTAAACAAAACTAAAAAAAAGTACATTTTTCCAATTTTCAAATTTTGTTACATAAAAAATTTTCAATTTTTTCCGCACTCTTACAAATTTTTTTATAATACGCACCGTTTTACAGCAACAAAAACCATTAAAATTGCTAAAGAAAAACAAAATTCATATACATATTTATATATATATATATAAATATATAATATAATACTTAATTAACAATATATATATAAAATAATACAACTTTTTTCAAAATTTCATTCATTGCAACTCTGTTACGTTCATTATTAACGTTCATTCGTGTTCAAATATTCAAATTTACATATTTGTTACATATAAAACTGAAAAGAAAAAAAAAACAACAAAAAGCAAGAATTTCATGTTTCATACAATTAAAGCAATAACTGTTGCAACCAAAATATTTTTCAAGCAAATTCAAAAACAACTTCAAACTCAATTACCTACATACATAACTACATACACACATACATTAAAGTTGGATACTACTTCGGCAATATTTTTTTTTTACTTTTTTTCCTTTTCTATACACATTTACTCAATCGTTATTTTTTTGTGCCTCTACTTCATTATTATTTAGTTCATCTAACGCAGCATTTTTCAATTCCTACAAGTATGTGTGTGTGTGTACTTATGTAGCGAATATATATATATATATATGTATATATATATATAAATACGGAGATTTATATTCGCTGCCATTGGAAATACATACATATACTCATATAACACTCATATGTACACTTGTTCATACATACATACATACATATTAACATACATATGTACATTTCAAAAAATTTTACGTGATATTTTGCTCCATCGCCATCGCTTTTATTTATACTTTTATTATAATTTATTATGATTATTTGTTTTTATTATGCAACTGATTGAAATTTTACGTTTACGTCCCTCATCATTGTTGGCTGTTATTTGTTTATTTATTTCTTTTTTAATTGCGAATTTATTTCTTTCATTTAACCCTTTTCGTTACAACCAAATATATCTGTATATGTATTTGGCCAGCTTGATTTTTGATTTATGATATGATTTTTTTTATTTTAATTAATATTTTTTATTAAATTACGCACACCAAAGAGGGAGTAGAATGTATCAAATATAATGTTCAAGAATACCGCTTTTTTATATTAATAATTCTTACCTTGAAATATTTTACACACATATATATTTACATACAAATGGAATATTTTTTTGATAAGTTAGAGAATAACCTTAGTATATGAGAAATCAATTTTTTATACTTATTAAATAAAATTTTATTTTAAAATGTAGTTTACATAATTTTATTTACCTCGGAGGCCACTATCAATTACATTTTTGATAACCAATTCGTTTAAAAATAGAACCAACTCTAACCAGAGTCGATGCATTGCAGATCGAATGCGCAAGAACAAGAACTGAGTGCCAGCGTTGAGTTTGTTTGCTAAGCAGACCTTGTGAGGCTTTCTAAAAACAAAACGAATATCTAACAGTACAGTGGACGAAAAATATGAACAGTGTGACTGTTTATTGAAACTCAAAGGGATTTGAAAGTTAGCCAAGAAGAGGTGTGTTCATAACTAGAGGTGAAAAATGCGTATAATATCCGTCATTTTGATTGTTTGAAATCTGGACTATCAACCATGTTCTATGGAAATGTATGAATTTTCAAATATTTATGTTCTGCTGCATTTTTTCTCACCTCCCTAACAGCTGAATTGAAAAGTCCACGGCCGACTATAGTTAATTAAATTTTTCTGACAAAATTCGTTGTTTTCTTTACTCAACCTTCGCGACCTTCCAATTTTTTGATACCATTTTTGTACCATCCTTTGCTTCAAAAGAGCCTCAGTTTTGGAGATCACCTCTAAATTCGACGCAATTATCTTCCCAGGGAGCATTATTTTCAGTTTTAAAAACAGGAAGTATTCGCTGGGGGCATTATCTAGAACGTACTTCGAAAGATCTCCAAACACTGCTCCGAATCATACGCTCGCCTTGTTTTTCGTCAAAAATGAACGGCACCCACTTTCCACAATGCTTTCTCATATCCAAATATTCGTGATTGAAATGAAATAAACGTTTAGTTCATATCTTCGGAGTGCCTGCTGTTTATTTCAATTTCAATTCAAGGCCATTCAAAATCATTTTGTGAATTTTTTTATCTTTATGTCAGTTCTCATTTAACCACGTCTAAACTTAGTAAACCAAACCTTGTGATGAAGCCAAATTTTTACTTCAACTACATGAAGCAATATTTTATCAACGCACAAAATTCCTTTTTACCAATTTTCTACAATAAATGCTATAATTCACAAACTTATGAGCCGACAGCTTTCAAAATTTATACACGCGTTTTTTACGGTGAGCGCTAACTTAAAATCAAATGGCTTTATTTCTAGTAGCGCCAACTATGTGTCAGGCCGGAGACTTTCCAATCCACCTGTTAGGTATAGACAAACCTCTTGCTCAAAGTGTACATGTGAACACTAGGCATGATGTCAGTAATATTCGAAGCACGTCAGGGTTTAGCTGCACAATTTTTATAGCAATGACAAGAATCGCTTATTTAAGAGATTCAATCACTGATTTAACAATTGGGAGTTTCTGAACCCGAACTCGTATTCAGCGCGAAATATTTGCTCAGAACCACTTTACCCCATGTTATGTGCAAAACTCCTGCAGGGCAGTGCTATCATAGAAGCGAATTATTAGAGAATTTTCAGAAGGAATTGTGTATATTTTGTAAAGCGTCTCAGTTATCAGGTGTAGTACGTTAATTCCTTCCGACTGGTCAAACTATCAACAAGAAATATTACTTGGCTTTGGCATCACCGTCTCCCCATACATTGACTCTCCATGAGTTTTTCGTAAAAAATTCAGCTCAAATCGTTCCACAAGCAGCCTGTGATATGGATACAAGTGCCTTCTGCCTATTCAATAAGCTCAAAGGAAAGCTGCGGTGAAAACTTTTTGTGTTGAAGAAATTCAACGGAAATTGCTGAAGGAATTGAAAGGCATGCCGATCGAAAGTTTTAATAAATGAAATAGATTTAGAGTAGTAAAGGCATATTCTAAGAACTTAAATAAAATTCACATTATACAATGACCACAAATTATTAAGTTTGTAATTCATATCCCACCATTTTTTAAAAATATTTTGGTCAAATTTCGAAGGTTTTCACTCGTCACTTGGCATGAACTGACTTGTCGAATTTCATATTATCTGTGCACAGGTGTGTTACAAATTAAATACCGCAAGGAGCAGTAGGGGGCCATAAACATTTATTCGGACACCTTTTCAAATATGTAAATTTCTTGTCATTTTCAAATTAAATATTTTAATAACTCAATTTTGAGTGTGGATTGGAGCGCTGAAAGCTTTTACAGAGCTGAGACTTGAGTGTCATTATTGCGTAGTAAAATATAAAACTACATCGTTACAACTGGGTATTAACGTCACTATTACTATTAAACAATATTCTTCCAGAATTTTCGTCTAAAATAATACAAAAACTTTCAAGATATTTACATTATTAAAAAAAATTGAATTAAACTCTATTTAGAATAAATTTATTTCCTGTGAATAACCATTAAGAGCTGTAAGAGAAGCGAAAACCTTGAAATGGAACAGAGCCATGGCAATGAGAATATAAATAACATAAAATTAAATTAAAAAAAAAATTATTTAAATCTTATCCAATCCTTAAATAGCTGAAATCCCTGAAAACACTTTAGTGAAAACCCTTGTAGTGTCTGTTAGCAAAAGCGACAAATTATATAATATATCTAGTTTCCCAAAAACACCAAAACACAGCTCCAGAAAATGATGAATTTGTTTTGAATTTAATTTAATTTT